GCACAGCATAGGATATATGGCATAACATAAATTACTGTCATGTTGTTTCAGAAGAGCTAAGTGCAAAGGGAACTAAGACTCATTGAATACTTCCTCTGTCATCGGCTTACCTTCCTCTCACAGATAACCTTATGACCATTGGGTAAAAAAACGAGGTCATTTTCTAGGAAATCCTCTCCCCCTCCTCCCCACACCCACCTACCTATATGAAGAAAGGTGTTTCATGGGCCTCCCCGGTGGTGCAGCGGTTGAGCGCTGGGTTGCGAAGCTGCCCTCGGCCTCTGCGGCGCCGGTTCGATCCCCGGCTGCTCCCTGGCCACCGGAGGAGGGTCCCACATGGCGCGCAGACCTCTCCTTCCGCCACCCGCTGCTCCCCTCAGCAGTGTACTTCGGTCCTTCTGCCTGCTCTGCTCCCCGCTCTGGCTCTGGTGAATTCTCTCACCCTCCCGCGCTTCTGACTGTACCCAGTGCAAAAACAAACAAACAAACAAACAAATAAATAACTAAAACATGCCTCTATTAAAAATAAATAAATAAATAAATAAAAAAGAAAGGTGTTTCATTCTATCTGTAACTCCAGCAAACTGTGAGTTTGGGCGAGGGTGACCAACCATCCTGGTTTTCCCAGGACTGACAAGGTCACCAGGATGCAGGACTTTCAGTGCTAAAACTGGGAACGTGCCAGGCAGACTGGGACAAGTTGATTGCTCCCTAGAGCCGATGTCCTCTGCCCGGGGACAGATGGTACCGTATGGCTATATGAGCTTGGAGATGAAGAAGAAACTGGGAAGAAGGAAGGAAAGGAGAAAGGAAGGGAAGGAAGGAGGAAAGAAATGTAATGATTTATTATGATGATGATTAATGAGAAAATCCATGAATGGAGTGGGGGCAGGGAACCAGGAGGAGGATAGCCTACTATCCAGGTAAGCAAGAGGAAAGTCCTATAAAAATGTTCATATCAAGGGCCTCCCCGGTGGCGCAGCGGTTGAGCTCTGGGTACCGCAGCCTCTGCAGTACCGGTTCGATCCCCGGCTGCTCCCCGGCCACCGGAGGAGGGTCCCACATGGCGCGCAGACCTCTCCTGCCGCCCGCTGCTCCCCTCAGCAGTGTACTTCGGTGCTTCTGCCTGCTCTGCTCCCTGCTCTGGCTCTGGTGAATTCTCTCACCCTCCCGCGCTTCTGACTGTACCCAGTGCTTGTATAAACAAATAAATAAAACATGCCTCTGTTAAAAAAATAAAAAACCTTTTAAAAAAAATGTTCATATCAAGATATAGACTACATTCATCAAAAATAAAACAAATGTTCATGGTAAGCTAGGGCAGTCCATATTATATAAGAAGCCTCCTTCTAAGGGATGTCTGGGCCATAGAAATTTCCCTGTCCCCTAAGGACTAGAGGATTACAGTACTTTGGCCTCAACACAAATCTCAAACTCACATTTTCCCTAGGTTTCTGGTGAAACTAGCAAAGCCTTGGAGGTCCAACTCCCACTGATTAGCCAACATTTCAAAGCATCCTCAAAAGGCATTTCCTGCAGTGGGACTGGTGTGAGTTCCTGTTTATATCTCTGCTTCCTTGGTCCAGGTTTGTATCATCGGTACACGGAGTTTCAGGTTGAGCCTATGACCTAATGATTTTGGACAAGAAGGAGGTAGCCCCAGATCACATTCAGCCAACATTTATTTACTGACCTGAAATAAGTTTTCCAAAAACACTAATACACACACACACACACACACATAAATATATATATATATATATATATACACACACACATATATATTATATATATAGATCGATAGATGCACATGCCAGCTATTTATAAGTTCAGAAATTTCTCAATAAATTCAGATAAACCAAATGATTTGAAAAATGGAAAGTCTGACAACTCAGGGTCACCATCTCTCTCCACTCCCCCACCTCCCCATATTCACAGTAATCTGAGGCTGAAGTAATACAGTGGATAGCAGTGTTGGCTGCCAGGGTTCAAATCCATGCTACTTACAGGTTCACATTCATAAACTTAACCTCTACGAATCTGGGTTTTTCAACCTCGCAGACAATGTTAATTTAGCAGTATTTATTTTGTGAACAAAAAAAAAAATGCTTAAAACAATGTCTAGCACATAGCAATCATTCAATAAGCATCGATGGTTGCCCCTCGCCCTCTCTTACACAGGTAATTTTGCTATTTTTTCTTTCCTTCCTTCTTATGTTACCTTTTTTTACCTTACTATTAGTTCTAGGCAGTTCAAAAATTGACTTTGGCAATCACCGTACCTCAAGTTACTAAGCAATAACTCAAGTCTTCCTTTCCTGGATTGATTGGCCTCATTCCCAGCATAATGCATGTCCCTTCTCTCACTCCAAGCTTCCCCCTCATCCTGCTGAGCCCATAATGAAACCTGACAGCAAGGAAAGGATACACAGCCATATTGACCTCAGACTATCTAATTAGAGGTTTCTGGACAGAAACAGAGATGGTCCCCCATTGTTTCAGTGTGTCTTATCCACTTTCTAATGTCAAGTTTTCCCAGACACTTTACCTCCAGGTTCCCCCTGCACATATAAGGAGAACACCTTTGTGAATAATTCAGCTAGCAAGTCAGTCAACCAGAAGATACAAATCCATGGAAAAACAAGGGGGTGCTTTCCTCACAGAAAGTTGTTTTTAAGAAACCAATTTCTGTTGCTAAGCAACCTTGAATACCTTCTACAGGTCCAACTAAATTGAATCCTTGATTGTCTACAGTGGGTTGTTGATGCTCTCAGGAGTCAGAAGAAGGTACCAGAGAAAATTTTACTCAAGCTGTGGATGAGTGTAAAATAATGCAGAAGGAGTTAAAAAAAAAATAAAATAAAAAAGGAGAGACATGCCTGGGTTCTGTTGTATAAGTCACCTAGTTATTGTATTCACACTTTGGGGGTTTGATGCTTGCCTGGGCAGTTAGCCATAAAGAGCTGGATTGTTCATTCACAGCTGAGTGGATGGAGTCACAATGTGGGAGACAGTCTTGTGGGTTCTCTCAAGGAGACTAATAATTAAAGTTGTGGTTAGATTTTACCCCAAATTAAGGGAGGTCCAGTGGAACTCCCTGGAAGTGAGAAGGAGCCTTTGAGGCAGATTAGATGTTGCAACTGTCAAATCCACAGCACAGTCATTATGCTGAGGAGATGAGGTGAACTGTGAGCCAGCCAATAAGAACAGAGAGAGAGTGGCACCATTTCCGGTTGTTCCAGTCTCCTCACTCTGGAGAGGGAGGCAGGGCAGGGGCAAAGCCAGTGCCACAGTTGCTTTTGCAAAACTTAACACACTGGGTGGCTACTCTTCCCATTGCTGAAAGTATGGAAAATCCTTTTGCATAATTTCCTAAGCCTATAAATATGTATTTCCCCTAATAACTAAATGTGGCTATTTTAACAAAGCCAATCAGTTCACTTAACAACACTTGGGAAGAGGATGTTTGGAGAGGGGAAAGGGAGTTTCCCAGAAAATTCAATGTCTTCTTTATAACTTCTTCCTCAGTATCGCTTTTATACTGGAGAATCTAATTTAAAATGTTTGCCTTGGGAGGGGAGGGAGTGGTGGGGAAAGGAAGGACTAGAGTCAAAATAAGTGGGGGGGAGGGAGTGCAATTGTATGGGGAATATAACCAAAATGAAAATGCACACATTGTGCAAAGATGAAAAAAGATGTAAGAATTATATAAAATAAAATATTTAAATAAAAAAATAAAATGTTTGCCTTCAAGTTTAGCTATTATAATCTGCTGAAGACAAAACTGTGCAAAGTATAAGGAACTACTGTTTGCCTATGTGGGGGCCATACTTGAAGGGATGCTCTCTCTGCTCGCTCCTAGTCTCAAAAAACATTCCCAAGACCCCAGGCTTCTCACTCAAAATCTCCTGGTGTCTCTCTCTACCTCTGCATCTCCCACAGGCTGTAAGAGTTGCCTCTCAAGTAGAGAGGAGTCTCTTTAAGGAGACTCTTAAGGAGATAGCTGTCTCCTGGCCTCTACAGTACTCTACTTCTGCCAGAGGGGTGAAAAAAGCCGCAGCACAATGGGGTCATAAAATTCCAGGTGAGTGTTCTTGTCAAACTCAGTAGCCGGGAAGCCTTTTAACTTCCCTTTGTTTCGAGATTTCCATCCATAAAAACAAAACATGCACCTCCTCATGACCCAGGACTGCACTGGAAGACTTAGGAAGAAGGGCTTGGGAGCTCCTGCAAAGAGTGGAGAAATCTGACCACTGTATATGCTCGTTGTGAAGTAAGGTCATTTGAAACTATCAATAATAAATCCACAATAGACTACTGGGAAGGAAAAGAAGAAAACATAAAACAAGTCACCTTCAATCTGGTGAAAACTTACATTGAGGGTTAGCAGCGGAAAGGTGCAGTGACAGAATGGAAGCGCCAAGAAGCCATGCAGAGGAGGAGAGGGCACAGGTCCCAGGGGCCAGCAGCTAATAAGCTCCCTCTGGAAGCTGAGCACACTCACATTGTCAGACTCCTGTTCAATGCTACTCGGAATCTAAGTTTCCACACTGGATGTGTTCTACATCTTTATCAGTATGCTGGTTACCTGAGTATATACACGCTTCAATATTCATCAAATTGTACACTCTGTAAACAGTGTATGCAAATTTTAACTAAATTTAAGAATCTATCAAATCCCATCCAAATCTGAATTCCCTGCTGTGCCCATGAGCAACTATATTCCAATTATCAATTTTTATAATAACAGTCCTCATGTTTATATTCAACAAGATTAATATATGCAAATGTGCATATTTGTGTACATCATAATCATAGATCTAGTCAGATTAAAACTGGCTTTATCTGTCATTCTCCAGCAACTGTTATCTCTGCACATTTATAATATACTGACAATCATTCAAATACCAAATGCCTTTAGGATTACCAAAAACGAAGTTAAATTGTGTGCAACTGACTTTTTGTATTAAATATATTGTACTATTTTCTTTCTTTTTTTTTCAGGAGGGGTGAACACAGTTCCCCACTACCATAAATGATGCAACTGAGTGTTCTGCATCTGGGTAAGTCACAGGGGTCTGCAGACCCAGAGTGCAATGTGTGAAACTCACTCTGGGAAAACCTCCTTCCTGATTGTGGTATCTCCCATGCCAGTAAGTGTACTATACTATTTTCTAATCCATTAAAAATTGGTAAAGCATATATGGATGGAATCATGACCATTTTATCAGAGTATTGTTTCTTCCCAGTGATTACTACTAAGCCTAATAATGGAGTATACAGTATCTATAAATTAGACTTTGGGAAGAAATGGGTAACAGGAGTTATTAGTGAATTTATGAATCAGTTGTTGTCTGGTTTGCAGATAAATCTTTGTGATTCTATGACTTAATGAGGACAATCAATCTGAATCAAGACTGACTATGGGTTCTCAATAAAGAAACATTACCCTTTTGTAAATACACATATTTGTGAAATTTAAGTTTGGGTATTATTTTTCCAATAGGAAATGTCAAAAAATACCTTCTTTGAGACTAGGCAGTAAATATGTCCCAATTAATTAATTTGCCACCAGTTGAATAATCTTGTTAATATCATCTCAGGCTTGCTCTTTAAAAGGCAATGAGGTTCTACTTTGCTACAGCTTAGATAGTCTGAGACTTTGAGATTTGCATGCAAGAAATTTGTCCATCACAGCTGAGTAGCTCCTGTGAAGGGCAGAGACAGAGGAATCAGTATTAGATGGAAGAGTCCCTCTGAAATGGCAACAAAGATCTAAGTCGACATCAGTAGGACTTTGAAAGTGGAAGGAGACTCTACTGATGCCCCTATGGTGCAAAGGAAGCCAAAATGTGTGTTCCACATCAACTGGTCATTAAATATGGGCCACCCAGAAAAGGGGCATGCCTTTGGTAAGAAAGCCCCAAGAGAGCCATGCCTTGGAGGATCTGAAAGGGAATCTGGTGTTTGCTCCATAACATCCAGTACCATCTTCATAATATTGTGTCTTTGCTAACTGCCCACCATGTATTGGATTCTTTACACATATTTTCCATTCTCTCTATAGTCCTATCAAGGAAAGAAATTTTTACCTCTTAATTTTTTTAAATAGTTTTTACAGTAAAAATTTCTTATAGTTGGAGACACTGAGTCTTAGAAAAGTTAAGTAACATACCCAAGATGGCCCAGTCATTGCTCAGTAGTACAGCCTGTGTTCAAACCCATGCTATGTGTCTCCAAAATGCCTGCACACTGCATGTGGAGTCACAAGGCCCAGTCCTCTCCCAAAGACTAGCTATGAAACCTTCACCAAGACACAGCTCTGAATCTCTTCTTTACCTGCGGAGGATAGTCATCTTCCTGAGGCATGCAAGAATCCCTTTAGGCACCAGAAAGTGAAGAGGAAGGAGCCGCTGGGCCAGAGAGAGAGAGTAATAACTTTCCTTTGGATCTGCTCTCCAGGACTGGTAGTTGGTGTCCAGTCATTGCTTTGGCAGTGTCCATGAATGGTGGTAAACTTGAGCACCCTGCAGGTCAGAGTCAGTATCCAAGGAGCTTTGGGGCAGTGGTAGTGCCAACAGTCAGTTTTAAACAGGCCTCTAATCAGGGGACAGGTAGTTCAACAAGAGCAGGAAAATGTTAAGGGTCCCAGCTGGCAGGCGCTAAGAGTGAGGACCCTGGCCCAGCTGGAGTAAACCTTTTCATGGCTCACAAGTCCACGGTGATCTATACCTACAGATATGCATTTCCCACCACATCCACTGCTACTTCCAACTCTTGCCCTGCCCCCAATTACTCTGAGCTTCTTTCTCTTTCTACAACATATACAATGTGCTCTCTCAACCTCAGGCCTCTGCCTGCAAGACTGCTCTCTTGGACTCCATTTCTTTACCTGGCTAACTCCTGCTCATCTCCCAGGTGTCCAACTGGTCTCTTCCAGGAAACCTTCCTTGACCTCTCAAGACTAGGTTAAGTGACGCTCCTGTATTCTCTCAGAGCAGCATATGTTGGGAGGATTATTTAATGATTGACACATAAGAAGCACTTTTTAAAAAGTGACTTTTTATTCTTATTCTTCCTTGATAAGACCTATCATTCTGAATTAGAGCCCTTGCATGCTTTGCCTGGGCCTAGACCTTTACTCCAGCATCTGCCACATTGAAAAGCATATAATAGGTGACTGATAAATATTTGTTGAAATAATAAAAACCTCAATTACACAGCAGGGTAAACATGGACAGAATAGCATGGGGGTGAGGAAAGTGAATGGAATTGCTAGGGGTCCTCTGAAATCTCCCAGATACTGGTCATCAAAACCAATGCCAGTCTCTGCCAGGGGGTAGGGCAAGACTTCCTGCATTTGAATAGTAGTTCCTGCACTTTCTCACTGTGTGACATTGCACATGTTATGTAACCTCTCTGTGCCTTGGTGTCCTTCACTGTACAATAAGGTGATATTCCTCCTTTACAGGGTTGCTGAATTGTAAACTTCTTAGAAAAGGATTTGGCCTGTAGTTTAAAGATTTACCTATCATTCTGAACCTAAATTTCCTCTTCAAAAAAAAAAAAAAGATAGATATATGCAGAATACTTGATATAGTGCCTGAAATATGCTATGCTCTCAGTAATATTATTATTACTAATAATAATATTATTACTACTACTACTATCCTTATATGTAGAAGATACTTTCTTAAGATGAATTTAATTGAATAAATAGAAACTTTCTTCCTCTTGATACTTTTGGTCCCTCCTGATAATGTTGGTAGAAAAGCACTATTCCTGCGTGGTTCTGAACCAACTATGTGCCTGTCTTCTTTCCCAGTGCTCTGAAAATCTTCTTCATAAAGCTAAACATCCCAATGCAAATCCATCCCATGAGCATGGAAGGTCCGTGCTAGCGTTTTTGGATACCACAAACTTGATGACTTAAAGCAACGAAATTTACTCTCTCACAACTCTGGAGTCAGAAGTCTGAGACCAACGTATCTGTGGGGCCATGCTCCCTCTGCAGCCTCTGCAGGAGAAGCCGCCTGGCCTCTTCCAGCTCCTGGTGGCTGCCAGTGTTCCTTGACTTGTGGCCGCATAACTCCAGTCTCTGTTTTTGTCCTCACATGGATTTCTCCTTCTAGGTATCTGTCCCAAATCTACCATTGTTTTTCCTTTATAAGGACAAATTAGATTTTAAATCATTAGATTTGGAGTTCACCATAGATTCTGGAAAATCTCCAGATCCTTAATTATATCTGTAAAAATACATTTTTTAAAATATGTGCATATTCATAGGTATCAGAGGGTAGGGCACAGACATATCTTTTGGGGTAACTACTCAACCCATTAAAGGAATAAGAGGCCCTAATGGGGTCTAAGTAGAATCTAATCCTTTACCTTGTTGGAACCTATGTTCCACTCCTTTGCCCTTTTCCTTTCCCCTGTGCGCGTGTTCCAATCTCATCCATTCATCTCTAGTGGGCTGGTCACAGCGAGAGGTACAAGAAGGACATCTGATTGCTCGTTTCTGGGTTCCACTATGACTTATGTCTGCACCTACTTCCTGCCTCACAATTTAGCATATATTTATCAAGCATTTGCTATATGCCAGGATCTAAAGATAGAAAGACATAATGCTTTTCTCCAGGTAGACTAAAGAATAGCAGAGGACATAGCATGGAAAGAACTAGTTGTCATACTCAAAATTATTAGAGGTCCCTGGAGAGAGTAATTTTGCCTTGGATTAGAGAATGGTCATAATGGGGATATTTGAGCTGAATCTTAAAGAATTCAGTTTTCACAATAGTGAAAGCCTAGAGCTCAGGAAAGCTTATTCTGCTTGGCCCACCCAGTTGCCTAGCAGGCAGCCAGAAGAGTCAGATGTCAACCTGGGAACTTGTAGTGCCAGCTTGTCCCACCTGGCTCTTCACCAGAGTTGCTTTGGTCACACATCAGGTTTCATAGATGAGGCCAAAGCAAGAAACCCTGGTGAGCTGGATCAAGTAGAGGCAGTAGATCCAGGTCAGTGCAGGACTTATGTTTGTGCTTGGACCAGCCAAATAGGCTCAGTGAAGGAATCTGGGTCAGAAACTTGGCACACTGGTAGGAAACATAAGGCTTGGTACACAAATTAAAATGGAGATTTGCTTTCCATCTAGACAGGCCTGTTGTTGGTTCTCCAAAGTCTGATTGAGGTGTGTCTCTGACAGGTGGCATATCATGTAAGGGCCAACTAAGTTTAGCATAGATTTATCAAGCATTTGCTGTATGCCAGGGCCTAAGGATATAAAGACATCATGCTTTCCTCCAGGTAGACTAAAGTACAGCAGAGGACACAAGCATGTAAAGAACTAGTTGCCGTACTCAAAATTACTAGAGGTTGCTGGAGAGAGTAACTCATTTTGCCTTGGATTAGGGAATGAGTCATAACGGAGGCACAGACAAATAACATTTGAGTTGAATCTTAAAGAATTCAGTTAAAAAAGTATGGGAAAACCAATTTAGAAGAGTGATCTCCAGTTGGCCAATCTGGTGCCTCTTCTTTCCCTCCCTCTTTGAGTTGATCTCATTTGAAGTCTAAATCTTATATAAACATAACCAACTTTGTACGAGAACTATTTTATGATCAGTACTGTAAAGACAAATGTTAAGCAAGCCCTAGAGTGGGTCATTACCCAGTGAAACAGCCAACCAGGAAGGCCTCCAGTTGTGAGGAACTGGTTTGGTGGGTACTGGCTGAATAATAGAGGTCCCACAACCACTGCTGCTACTATACACACAGTAGTAAGCTTGCAGGTATCAGCATGTCTCCCTGATGCATCACTATTGAGGTTATAATGTGGATGTTTTCCTTATAAAATTGGTTATTTTACATATAACACCAAGTTCCCTCCAACCCCAAGAAGGCATTCATGGTCTCAACCTCTGACAAAAGGTAAGGAGACCAGTTCTCATTACTCCACATTACATATTTCTTTTCAGTATTTAATGACTATCTCTTTGAACTTTCTTAGAGATTTCTTGCAACCCAGCATCTTCATAATCAGAAGTGATATTTTTAAATTTAAAAATGTGGCATCTTCTGGAGTATTAATTTTATCTAAATATCATTAGGTCACACTTAAGTGATCTAAGTAGGTAACAGATTTAAATGTACTTTAGGGGCCTCCC